GAAAGCAAGATGTTAAAGAGCTTTTGAAGAAATAATGATGGAAAACTTCCCTCACTTGGTGAAGAAAATAGACATACAACCCCAGGAAACTCAGAGTCCCAAGAAAGAGGAACCCAAAGATATATTACAATTAAAATGCCAAAGGTTAAATATAAATAGAGAAACTTAAAAAGAGCAAGAGAAAAGCAGTTAATTATCTACAAGGGAGCACCCATAAGACTGGCAGTTGATTTCTCAAAAGAAACCATGCAGGACAGAAGGGCTTGGCACAAAATATTTGATATGATGAAAACCCAGGATCTACAACCAAGAATGCTTATCCAGCAAAGCTATCATTTAGAGTTGAAGGACAGATAAAGAGCTTCCCAGACAAAAAGAAGCTAAGGGAATTTATCAACACCAAGCCAGTATTACAGGAAATGTTGGAAGAACTTCTTTAAGAAGAAAAAACATGTATCGAAAAGAGGAATAAAGAATAATAATAACTACATTCCTATCAACAAACACCTCAAATGGAAAAGCTCCAATGAAAAGATAGAATGGCTGAATGGATAAGAAAACAAGACCCCTACATATGCTGCCTACAAGAGACTCACTTCAGATTAAAAGACACACATAAACTAAAAAGAAGGAGATGGAAAAAGATATTGCCTTGATGGACCTAGAAGGTATTGAATTGAATGAAATAGGTCAGATTAAGACAAATACTGCATGATTTCAAATACATGTGTAATCTAAAGAACAAAATAAACAAAAACAACAAAAGTAGAAATAAACTCATATAGAGAATATTTTGAGGGCTACTAGATGGGAGGGAGTTTGTTGGTGAACAGCAAAAAAAGGCAAAGGGATTAAGTGGTACAAATGGATAGTTGCAGAATAGACATGGAGACGTAGAGTGTAGCATAATAAATATGTAAGGGGGAAAAGGGATACGAGATTTAGTGGAGATGATCACTTTGCGAGTTATGTGGATCTCTGATCACTGCTTTACAACTGAAACTGGTATATTATTGTATGCCAACTATAATTGGAAAAAAAAACCTCATTGAATTGTACAATGTAAATAAGAGCAACTCATTGTCTATTATATTTCAATAAAGATGGGAAAAAAACCTGAAAAAGCACGGTTATTAAATTATTTATTCTTTGGAAATTCACACACACACACACACACACACAAACACACTGCATTGCTGCCAATCAGACCATTTA